AGCCTTGGCAAAAAAATTCTTTGGAAAAGAATAAAGAAAAGCAAATTACAGATCTTAGCTACGTAGACTGTGCCTGCTTATGTAGCAGACGTAGCAGTAGCGTCCTAGCATAGATGGAAGGGAATTTGACGAGCGTTCTGATGCCAACCCACAGGAACTAATGTTTTCTCCGTGAGAGATGGAAGTACTTTCAAGCAGATGGGAAATAATCCAAAATCATCTCAACAAGGGATGCAGAACTCGAACACGATTGCAATATCAAAAGAATCATGGAAATTGGTAGTCGATATGGTATTCACCAGGGCAGGAAAATACCACTTTGGGGCACGGAAGAGAACTCCCACTAGCACTCGGTCGATAAGAAGTTGCTCATATTGAGACAATTGACTTAAGAGAAATAGCCAAGAGAGCATCGCTCAGCAACCAACCCACCATACAAGTAATTGCAATCAGGGGAAAAGAAAATCAACATGTATAAAAAATGAAATAAAACTTACTCCCAGTCTTAATCATCCTCACTTGACAGAAAACCATAATTCTCAAAACTCAAATGATTATGTGCACCAAAAAAAAAAAATGATATGGGAAACCAATCCTCCTCCTAATATGATATGAATGCCATGAAGAGAATGTAATGCAGAGAATGTATTTTGAAGAATGCCTAAAAACCTGATTTTCTGTACAAGAATCCCAACCCAAACTTCTGTAGAACAGTTTCATTTACCTGCCAGAAGCATTTGATGCCGTTCCTCATGCCTCAAAGTTTATAAAAAAGGAATCTCATAAACATTATGAGAGCGTGCAACACAACCGCAGAGATTCAATCAAATAGTAGCATCTACACTTGTAGTAGCCGGCTGGGACCTACAACCTTTCAAATTGAAGATCCCAGAGGTGGGGGGTGTAGAACGAAATCCCAGGATAGGGCAGAAGCAGAAAAGCAGTGAAGCAGAACGAGACGAGACGAGACAACACCTCAACAAGGAAAAAAACATACATCTTTAGCAGTGCCCTTCAAGACATTCGCTCAATAAAATTATCAAAATAAATATGAACTGAAAATATTTTAGTATATAGATTCCTACGACTATACTGAAGGGATAAAGGAAAAAACAATTCAAATTAAAGATAGAAAGGACTTATCCAAACTCAAAAGTAGAGGCTGAGGGCGTCGCCCGATTTTAAAAAGGTCCGTTACGAAGTCCAAGCACTAAAAACACATAGAATCGGAGTAATCCTCTAAACATCCTGTGTTTAACTAAGGCAGGTTGAGAAGTCTGCAGTCCTCAGCTCCTGCTCCGACGGCGGTCCTTTACACCATTTCTACACAAGATTGAAACAGTGAATATAATTAAAAACATGTTAATGCTTTGAGTAAAAGAATCCCTGAGCAAGCATGCAGACCGCCCATTGCAAAATTGGTGCACAATGAGATCTTAAACATGATTATCTAGTCAAAGAAAAACAAACTTAAAACCTCTAACATTCATAAGGGCAACCAAGGGGGAAACACCCAAAATACAGTATAGAAAAAAGAATCCTGAGTTTAGTAACAACCCAAACCAAATTTCATGCATCCAAGAAATAAGAGACAATTTCTTTGATGATTGAAAATAAAAAAAGAAAAAAAAAACTAAATTTAGAGAACAGCTTCTGCTGCAGCTATAGCACGCAGACCAGGCAGGCACATCCATGGAGAAGGAATTAAATGTAACAAAGCAAAACATATCAGACAGCCTCACCCATTGGCATAAGGAACCTCCTCTCTACCACGATACGGAGGTGATCTGCTATAGCTACGCCCACGAGGTGACAAGCTGCGGCGTCTTGGAGATCTTCCACGGGGACTGTAACTCCTGAAAATACACTAATGACGTCAAACATCCAAGAACATAAACAAAACCAAAGGGAACTATTCACAAAATCCAAATATAGATAACTTGGAAAAAAAACTAATGTGAGAAATTTCAAAATAATATACAATAAAAGCTATAAGTTGCAAGATTCAAGGATCAAACCTGCGACCATAACTTGGACTCCGACGGTACCGTGGACTGCGGCTACGTCTTCTTCCAGCACCACCGCCGCCGCCGCCACCACCACGTGAACGACATTCACGAGCAAAATGTCCTGGCTCACCACATTCATAGCATTTGAGATCAGAACCCCCAGAACGACCACGACCCCCTCCTCGGCCACCTCCACCACCACCTCTAGAATTATGAGAAAGCTCAACTCTCCAACCATTCTTTCCTGAATCAGAATTGACAACGGTAATCATAAATCACAAACAAAAAACCATAAATGCAAAAATGTGACAGCAGCTCAGTGGAAATGCACGAACAAAAACTTCAATAATATCATCCATCCTTCCATGAAAATCACATTGAACAAAAATAGTTTTACTGATACTAACGGTCATTAAACAAGGGAATATAAGCACGGCATCACTAAACAAGCTCAAACACAAATTATGAAAAAGGAAAAGCTGACAAACCATCAACCTATCACAAAATAGAAACTGGCTTATATACAATAGACTGAAGAATAAAGATCAACAAAATAATAGTGGATACGATAGCTCGTCTGAAGGCAAAAAGGCATTATGAGCTTAAACTTCGTACACTTAGATTTAAGAAGCACATAACGAATCAGTTACTGAGTTATGCATAAACTATTATGTAATATCATTGTTAAGATATGTGTATGAAACAAAGCACCAATGACAAACAACAAAAACTGCATCAAAATACAACGGCATGTACCAAGAAAAAAACCAATACAAAACAACAGAAAAACCCATACATACCATCTAATTCATGAATTGCATCCCGTGCATCTCTGGGATCATCAAAATCTATAAAGGCATAACCAGGGGGTCTTCGTGCAACCCATACACTGAAACACAACATTTGCAATTAGGTAACCAACTGATTAAAAAAAATAAAATATGTATAACTCGGCCTAACATCCAAGAAGGTGGAGAACTTTTCCCCTATGAACAGCTTAATCCTCAACGGTCATCAGATTATGAATCAGGGAGTGTCAACAAACACTCGGTCAAAATATAAATACTCTACTGTTATCAATTCCCATTCTTAAGTGCTACCACCAAAATGCAGATATGATGAAACAATCTTGTCCTAATGGAACCTTGAAAAAAAAAAACACTAAAAGTCCAGGTCTTAAATCTAGCTAACTACCCAATTAATGAATAATAAGTACATTGCATTATAGGACTATGGTGTAAACATCTATCAACACATAAAGGCTCTTGCCCCTTTTCCATGGAGATAAGTTCCAGCTCCCTTACACAGAAACTTCTTCAATTCCCAGCTGTAAACCATGAAGTCCACAGATGCCCGAAATAAAATCAAAACTATTTGACATTTACTTCCGGATGAACGGCCACGGCCGAAAAGTTGGTAATAAGAAGATAAATAAGAAAACTTAACAACTTGATGTTCGGAATTCTAGAAAACATAAAATTCATGGTGCGCATGCCAAGTAGAGTGGCTGGTAAGAATTTATATCAAGAGTGAACTTAACCAAATTACACGTAGTATCTTGTCTAACAAAAGGCATTTAACAGTTGAAGGAGTTAGAAATCTGCTTCAGAATCCAACAGTAGTAGATTGTACAAACTACGAAGAATAATAAAACAGTAGGCCACAAAGTTAAATATACCATACCTTCGAATAACTCCAAATACACGAAATTCGTCTTCCAGCTCGCGCTCAGAGACCCTCGGGTCCAAATTCCCAACGTAAACACGAGACATTTTTTGCCAAGTAACCTGCCAATTACACGAAGAATCAGACAATACAATACACTTACTCGCATATTATTCTCCTAAAAATACAATAAACAAAGAAGCCGTTCAAATAAGGGCTGCTCCTCGAATTCAACTACAGAAAATCGAGCCTGAGCATGGGGTTAACAATTCGCCGGAAAATTACCGGATATTTGATAACAATAAATCTTTCGAGATGAGAATCTACTTGAAGCAATCATGAAAATCCATATGAAAAAAAAAAAATCAAGAAGACATACGAACAGATCGGAGACGACGATGAACGTGCAGGAAAAACCCTAGCAGCCCGACGGGTTTCTCTCTTCAAGTTTCAGATACACTTGGGTTTTCGGAAACTACGGAGTTGTGTGTTAAATGTCCGACGAATTTAGATCGGACTCCTCCAAAGTTTCGAAATTAGTAAATTAACCCAACATTTTGGCGAATTCTTATTTTCAACTCGAGGAAGCCATGGGCCAGCACCATTGGGCTTGTGGCCCAAATATCAGTCCAAGCCCAGCCCATACCAGCTTCAATTTAAGTTCAGCCCAAAATCATAGCTTGTGTCAATTCATTTGCGTCATTTTTTTATCAATTTATTATTTTTAAATAAAGTAAAATATTAATTTTTTTTCCAAATATATTTTATATTTGATAAAAAAAATTAAAAGGGTAAAAAAAAGGGTTAATGTTAATAATTTGATTGAATAAGACTAACAAAATTCATTGAAATTTTTAAATTAAATCAAATACAATATAAAAATCCAACTTTTTTTTAATAAAAATTGGTTTTAAATAAATCTAAGAAATTAATTTAATATTTAATATAATTGGTCAGTTTTAGAACTCGAGTTTGACCCAAAATTGATATGATGCACGGAGTCAAAGAGTTAAAATATGGGTATAAATTTAAATAGTTTCTTAGATCTGCTACAATTGAGTACGTATTTAGATTTAAATTGTGTTGTCCCAACGACGAACGCTTGTGTTGTCCCAACGACGAACGCTTCTATTTTATTTTTATTTATTGATTTAAAGAAGAATTCATGGTTAGGCTCCATTTGACATAAAAATTTAAATTTTCCATTATTATTATTATTATTATTTTGACTTATAATAAAATTTAAATTACTTGGAAGTAGTAATTTGGACAAAGAGATAAGGGTATAATAGTAAATGAATAGTAAGGGAAAGTGGTAAAAGACGGCAGCTTTATTATTTATTCATATTCTTCTGGCGGGGGAACTCCGTAATTTAATTCCTGCAAATATTATTAATTTATCACAATTAAACATTTAAATAAAAATAAATAAATATATGGTTTTTTATTTTTTTACCAAGTTTTTCATCAGAGCCGCATCCGACGAACCGCCGTCCTGCACCGCCCGCTGGGCAACCCTTGCCAATTCTCCGGCCCTTTCTCTCGCCCTCTTCCCCTTCTCTCCGATCATCAATTCTCTCACACTCGCACTGATTTTTTCTCGAGAAGCATATCGGCCCCCATTTTCCCCTCTTTCAATCGCAATCCCAATGCCTAGTCCTTCCGATATGTATTTCTCATTCAGCTTCTGCTCCGACATCATTGGCCACGCCAGAATCGGCACTGCCGCCGCCAACCTCTCCATTATCGAGTTCCACCCGCAGTGGCTCAGAAACCCCCCGATCGCTTTGTGGAATAGAATCCCGATTTGGTCTACCATCCCCCTCACAATCAACCCTTTTGACCCAATTCCTTTTGGTGCACACCAAGTGTTCGACCTAATGACTAGCACAAATGGGCACCCAGAATCCTCCAATCCAAGCGCCATCGCCTCCATCTCGGCGTCCATCAGCACCGCCGAGCCATTTCATCAAGGAAACAGAGTTATCGTCCTTTTGATAATTGGTGGTGCTTTCTCGCCCATAGAGAAAAGTAGGACCAACACACCAAACTTTCGCCCCTTTTGAGTAAAAGGACTCCAATTGTGAAATATGATCGATTTCGAAGGTATTTGCGATGACCCCCAACTCTGCAATTCAGCCTCCCCTGCCTCCGCTATGAATTTGGCAAACGAGTTGCTGTCGGTGTTCGACACAAATTGACGTCGGGGACATCGGCGGTCGTTAAATTAAACGACAGATTCGGCAGAAGCAGGTGGATAAGAGTAGAGATAGAGGAAACAGAAGCCGTGTAATCAGCATTGGCCATAATGGCTTTGGTGATGAGCAATGGCACAACGCCGGTGGCATGGAAGACCAATCTTGGAACGCCGAAGTCTTGGCAAATGCTGGCGTTCCAACCAAGGAAGTAATCGGTGATGACGCACAAAGGGAGGTCGCCGGAATCCGCCATGGATTGGAGGAGCTGTTGAAAGGGGTTTTTGAGGTGGGTGGTGGCAGTGAGGAAAGAGACGAAGAACTGCAGAGAAGGAATTTCAGAGAGGTTTTTACTACACTTCGGGGAGGTCATCAATGGCGGGGAAATGGAGCTAGACGAGGGATATGAGAGGGATGGCTTGGATTTTGGGAGAGATGAAGTTTGAATTAGCTGGGACTGTGACAATGGTGACTCTTGCTTGGTGACGAGAGAGAGCTATTGAGAGGTCTATCAATGGGAAGGTGTGGCTGTGAGACATGAAAGGGAAGACCACGACATGGGGGTTTGTTGATGAAGCCATTGATGGTTTTATCTTTCTGCAAAAACTACCGACGGCGTAGGAGGCAGAGGATGGTGAGAATACAAAAACTTTCTCCTTATTTATATCAAGAAAAAAATTATTTAACAATTTATATTTTAGAAACATTTTACAATCGAATTTCTTTGAGTAATTTTGTCGAATAAAACCCCCACGATTAAAACGTTTTGCATTCAGAAGGCCTCATCTCCATCGTAATAGACGCCACAAAAAAAAAAACAAAAAAAAAAAATAAAATAAATCAGATAGTGACAGGAGAGGGATGGATGGATCAAAAAAAAAAATGAAACTAGATTTATAAAAATTTAACAAACAACGTATGCACAACCACTTATCCACACCCGGTTGTAAAAATTATCAACGTGAGTATAGTTCAAGTAGCGAAAAATTCATAACCTTGACTCAATCGCAAATATGATTATATAACTCAAGCCTGATGCAAAGCTTGCTGATTGCTTTTTCTAGAAGCTGGAGAGCCAATTTTTAGGCTTAGCAAAATTTTGTAACAAGAATTGTTGTCTATTACAATCTGAAAGACAGTAAGGATTCTGAGTAAACAAATTAATGGGACAAGATTGGGTGATAATTATTTGATCCAGCCAAACAATCTGTGGGATTTGGTAGGGAAAAATGGGGGAAATCCCAGAAGTTTGGATGAAAAAAAAAATTAAGTCATCTGCCTACTCTAATGATAGTAAACCTGTAGAAACGAATGAGGAGCCTAATTATCTATGGAGAGGAAGGGGGAACGAACCTATATTATATGAACTCCATTCTTCTTTACTTCAAATCAATTATGGACCTGGAAAAGGGTGAGGGCAGAAGAAGATCAACTATCCGCATTCATACAAATAAAATATTAGGGTTAAATCATAAGTTTGGTTTTTAAACTTTTAAATTTATATTTAAATGGTTCACGACCTTTCAACTTTGTGTTTAGTTGATCGTGAAGTTTAAAAAATATTGAACATGTCAATGTCTTGTGGGACAAATTTAAACATTCATGTCTATTGAAAGTTTAGGAAAATTAAAAACAAAAGATTTGCGAACAGCTGAAGAAAAGTTAGAATAACTTACCACTGCTCAAACTACAAATGCAACAAGAAGTGCGTGTAATATGGCCCAATAGAATATCATCCCCAGTCGTAATGCAGGTTGCCGCATCAGTGCTCGATCACAAGAAACCCTGGAAAAATAGTATACGAAATCATGTTATACACTTGTTCAGATTTACATATTTAACAGACTGAAAAGAATATCTGTATGCCCTACCAAAGTCCATCGATCATATCTGTTGCACGTCTCGAGAATTTTGGAAAAATTCTTGATGAAGCTAATGACTTAAATCCATGCACTGCAGTGTAGGAGGAGGAACGATAGTTAAAGCAATCGGTTCATAGAAGCAATCTGGCATCAAACAAAAAGGTCGAAAAGCAAGAAGATCATAACCACGCTAGTTTACGATTTTACCTTTATCGTCATCTTCGTCCTCTAATCTATTACTACTGCTAGCATGATCCATATCTATCGCAATTGCAACTTGATCGGTATTGCCTTTGCGCAAGCTTCGAACTTGAGGTATAACAGAAGTACTGCTTGCCCAATTATTGATCTGCGCAAGAGTGCATAACGTAGAACTTTTCACAAGGACGATAATAATAAGGTATGGGATGTTTAAAGTACTTCTATTTCATAACAAAAATGTAACTTAACATTACCATCCATAGGCAAACTAAGCAAACTTTTCAGTTGATATAATAATTAAGGGGAAAGTGAAAATGGATTAACATGCAGGAGGTTATTTCAACAAAACCATGCAACATCAGAAATGGCAAGAAATTATGTTTGAAAGTACAATTTAGAACGAAATTGGATCTTATTCTAAGCATGCTTTCTAAGTAAACTTCACTCAACAGGATGTAAGAAATAAAGATACTATACTCAAAATAAGAGAAAACACTACCGAAAACCTCACCAACGGTTCAGATTCAATGATTTCAGGGCCTGCACTGCTCGCTCTATTACCATCGCCAACTTCTTCAAGCAAGTTTAATTGCAACTCCTTACATTTCAGTTCTTCTACCTTATTTTTTTCAGCAAGCAACATTTCGTCCTTCCTCTGTGATGCTGCTTGAAGATCCTCAATTTCTTTTAAGATAGATGCAATCTTCTTCTTAAGTACTTCCTTGCATTTATGAACTTCATTTTGTTGGTTGTCATGAACAATATGAGACAACCCCACCCGAGTTTCCATCGTGTCAAACCATGTTATAATCTCATTGATATCCTCTGTACTTCTGTTGCTTGTTTGGGCTACAGCAATAGCATCATTGGTACATCTAGTTACCTCTTGTCTCAGAAAAGAGATTTCATCATCCCGATCTTGCAACTGTGCTCGAAGTTCTTCAACTTCAGTTAAGAGACTTTCGGATAGTTGATGAAGCTCATCAAATTTTGTCACTGTAATTGAGAGCTTTTTCATGAGCTTCCCACGAGAAGTTTCGGTGCTCTCAAGTTCCTGATTCTTTTGTTTCAAGAATTTTTCCAGTTCCTCAATCTTGTTGGTCAAACCTTCCATCTGCACTTCCTCCTCATCAAGTGCACGCATTAGGGCCTCAATTTCTGTGGACATCATGCAAAGTCAGCCTAAGTATTGATAATCTTATGAAAGTGGATTATGAAGGATTTAAGCATAATTTAACATACCTTGGTCTTTTGCTGCAAGCGAATCTGTAAGCGACCTGACCCTCTCTCTTAACTCATCTGAGATAGACAAACCATCTTGCATCTCCTTTAATCTCTGCTCCAGGACCTTCCTCTCAATCTCCATCTGTTCCGTTGCTTTCTCTAACTTATGTACCTGATCTTTTGAAGCTTGAAGATCAATTGAATATCTAGTTGCACTTGCTTCCGCTTCCTTAATTTGACCAACAAGATCCATGCAAATCCTTTCCTTCTGGATGTCCTTCTCCTGAAGCTCTTTCTGCAGATTTGATATTGCAACCTTCATTTCTTTTACACTACCATCAAACATTTCAGCTTTCAAACCTAAAAATTCCCTCACTGCCCACAGCAACCTTTCAGCAATTGTCCGGACAGATTCCTCAGACAATAAATGAGTTTTTCCAGAGCGTGAAAGTTGATCAGGTGTCATGGAGATAATATCCATTCCCAGATTTCCACTAGTCAAATCATTTCCCATTAGCTCCCCTTTTCTTTGGTCAACTTCCTTAATTGTAGATATGCATGCTTCAAAGAGCACCGCAATGTTTCTGCATAAGATATCTCCTTCCATTTCTTTATCTTTTGCAACTGACTCACTCTGTTGCACATCCCACTTTAATGCTTCGACCAACTCTTTCTGAGAATTCACGTTACTATAAAGTACCCCCAGCACCTTAGATAGAGAGTCGGATTGTTTATGGAATGACACAGAATGCCCATCTATCATTTCTTTCAGAGCACCAATTTCCTTCAACGATTCTTCCAGGTTATGCGCAATGAGACTGTGTATATCCGTTGAAACATTTTCATCCACAGGAGAATTAGAGTAGGAGTTGAACCAGGAATCCAGAGCAAAAAAACTTCCCTAAAAGAAAAACAATCCTAGTCATTGAGTCTGAAAGTACAATAGCCAAAATAGAATATAAACTTTTATTATTTACTATTTACATATTTAGTGTAAAAGTTTCCATCAATTAATTATGTTTATGTACATTGAGAAATAAATGCATTCTGGAAGAAAGAGAAAAGAAACAAGATTATAGCAAATTTAGAGTGTTATTCTAAACCTATGAGCTGAGTTAAAATATTGGATTTAATAGTGTGTGTGTGTGTGTGTGTGTGTGTGTGTGTGTGGGGGGGGGGGGG